ATTTTTTTGTACAAGTTCGCTCACTTTGGCAACTCCTGAAGAAGGGAGCAGCCGAAAGAAAAACAACAGCAGCTTTGAGTATGGCATCCCAAGATGTTGCATTAGATTGCTCATAAAGTTATTTTTCATCCACCCATACATCATCTTTACCCACTTCTTCCTTTTTGGGTCACTGGTGTCCATGTCTAGCAGTCACTTTGCAAGAGGTGAGGGACACCCTGGACAAGTCTCCAGTCCATCACAGGGACACATAGAGACAAAAAAACATCCACTCTCTCACTCACACCTAGGGTCAATTTAGAGTTACCAATCAGCCTAACATGCATGTTTTTGGTCTGTGGGAGGAAACCGGAGTACCCGGAGAAAACCCACGCATGCACGGAGAGAACATGCAAACTCCACCCAGAAAGGCCCCTGGACCGGGGTTTGAACCAAGGACTTGCTCGCTGAGAGGCAGCAGCTCTACCAGTTGCGCCACCGTGCTGCCCCGTAGAAAAGCCAATTAGTAAAAGTTCTCTATCTAAGGAAGCAGCAGACTCGTTGAATCTTCACTTCATCACAGTCTCCCATCCTGAGCAAGCTCAATGGCAACAGTGGAAAGGAAAAACTCCCTTTTAAAAGGAAGAAACCTCCAGCAGAACCAGGCTCAGGACAAGAGGCCATCTACTTTGACCAGCTGGGTTTGAGAGGACAGGAAGGAGAGACAGACGAACACAGAATGGTAGGTCCATATGTAGGTGCAGGTGACCCTGAAAGACAAAACACATGTTAAGGATAGAAAAAAAAATTACAAATATAAAACAGGTTGAGCCGAGTAAGTAAAGACAGTAGCAGAGTGAATAGTGTGGTCAGTTTGTCCTCCAGCAGTCTAAGCCTATAGCAGCATAACTAAGGGACAGCTCAGGAAACCCAAGCCGACCCCAACTATAGGATTTGTCAAAAAGGAAATTCTTAAGTCTAGTTTTAAAACTGGACAATGTGTCAGCCTCACGGACAGAAACTGGAAGTTGGTTTCACAAGAGAGGAGCCTGATAACTGAAAGATCTTCCTCCCATTCTGCTTTTGGAAACTCTAGAAACTGAAAGTAAACCTGCAGTCTGAGAGCAAAGTGCTCTGTTAGGAAAATATGGAACAATAAGATCTGTAATATAAGATGGAGCTAGGTTGTTGAGAGCTTTGTAGGTTAGAAGTAAGATTTTGAATTCAAGTCTGGTTTTACGGAGCCAATGGAGAGAAACTAAAACTGGAGAGATATGGTCTCTCCCACTAACTCCAGTTAAGAGGAGAGATCTAAGAATTTAGCTAAATGTCAGCAAAAATGAACGTTATAGATGTTTTGTGTTGGCTAATTTTGATTAACCGAAGCAGTCGTTATGAATGGGGTTGGCTCCGAAGGTTAATCAGCTGAAGATCTACGCCCAGCGATTATTTCTGACAGGTTTCATTACAAGTTGTTCAGCAACGCGTGAGATATTTTGGCAGCAGACAGCAACATGAACACATGCAGGTGATAGAGTTCAGCTGTTTTTACGATGTGGTTATAGAAATGAGCACTTTGATTAAACTACAGTGAAGCACTAATGCAACATACATGTGTTTTCAAGTTGTTTTGTTCATTTGATAACTTCTCCTCTCTGCCACAGAAGTCCTGACACTGCTGCTGTTTGACCAGGTTGTTTCCTCATATGATGGCAGCTGCTGCTAATCTGCACTCACACCAAATCTGGGTTGACATCCTCACCCTGTTTCTTTCTTTTCCTCCTTCTTGTTTTTTCTTTCTTCCCTTGCTCCTTTTCTCCATCTCATCATTCCGCCTGAAAGCCTGGGAACCAGTCAGGGAGATTTTAAAGGAGAGTGGAGATTTGTTGGCTTTAGTCACGAGGAGAACTCTAAAATCCTGCAGTTTGTTACAATTTACTGTTCGTTTGTTTAAAACGTGTTAAAAAGTCTTAGGTGTCATCTGTAAACTTGTTGCTGTCATTCAGTTTCACACATTTTTACTTATTTTCTATAAAACAGAAGTGAAAAAATGAAATCAGATTTTTTTTTCCACTTATTATTCTGTGTTGTGGAGGTTCACTCAGTGTTACTTTGACAAAATGTCATAATTAATTTTGTATAATGTTGATGGCAAATGATGCACTTCACAAAAACAACAAGAAAAACAACAACAAATAATCTCTTTTTAGTTTGGTCATACTTTATGTTTAAAAAAAAAAAAAAAAAAGCTGGCAAAAACAGTAGCAGCTGGTGGAGTTTTTTCCAGGGGGGCTATAACTCCAATTAGACACAGACTATATAAATCAATAACAGACTCTACCAACGAAAAGGCCCTCGGGAAAATCTCTATATGTAAATCTTTGCATGTATTTGTCTAGTTAACACCCCTGGTCGTTTTTTCATATAAGTGAGGGTTCTTTTGCATACTTCATTTGTTTGTTTGTTGTATACTTGTGCCATTTGCTTAAAATAAAAAGTGTCACTGCACGATCTGTTCCAGGACCGGAAGCATGGTCCAGACCGTGTGCCTGTACTCTGGGCGCAGGAGAGTTAATCTTCCTATAACTTGTATCGAAGAGGAGCTAACTGCACGTGTACAACTTTTAACGAGAGTCTATGAGTAAAGATTCTTGTGTCCCCAGTGCGGAAATGCGTCCTTAATCAGAGACAACCTTTTTGATAAAAACAACTTTACTCATCATTAACTATGAAATATATATGGTATGGTATGGTATATAGTTTATTCATTTTAAAAAAGTACAAAACAATTCCATAACAATATAAAAAAAAGGATACAAAAGATTTAAAATGAAAGGCAGCAGAAAGAAGAAAAAATCTTATTATATCTGCCCCTTTTTTCAAACAATTATTTCAATCATAATAATCTTTAAGTAACAGAACAAAATGAATAACTCTTTCTAATTTTTCTAATTCTAATACAAAACACACACTAAGCTACTTCATATATATTTTTTTAACAATTCAGCTTTGATCTTTTTCTTAAATGTACACATTGACTTGGCATTTTTCACATCACTCTCTAGACCATTCCACAATCCAACTCCTTGGATTGAGGTAGACCTTCCCTTCAGACTAGTTCTGAATTTTGGTTTGACAAATATCTCTATCCCCTTAAGATTATAACAACTTTGTCTTTTAACAAAATTTCTTTGGATATTTAATGGTAATGTGTTATTTTGAGCCCTATACATAACTGATAAAATACTATAATCTACTAAATCATGGAACTTCAATAACTTCAGTTGATAAAATAATGTGCTTGATGGGTGACAGTAATGCTTTCTGGTGATAATTCTTACAGCTCTTTTCTGTAAAATAAAAATAGGTTTTGTAAATGTTTTACATGCTTTCCCCCAAACATCAATGCAATAGATTAAATGTGGAACAATGATTGTGTTATACAACATGTACAGAGCTTTATCATTTAATAATTCCCTGACTTTGTATAGTACTGCAATAGATTTAGATATTTTTGTTCTTACAGAATTTATGTGATTTTTCCATGTTAGCTGTTCATCAATGATTACACCCAAAAATTTCATCTCATTAACTCTACAAATCTCAACACCCTCAATTTTAAATGGATCATCAACAGTATATCTTACACAACTAAAAATATATACATATATTTTGAAATATTTTAATTTTATTATTTAATTTTTTCATGTCTTTAAGGTAATATGGTGAGTGGTGTGAGTGGTGGGGCGGCGCCCTAGCGCCCCCTATTGATCAGTCGCCACTGGGCAACAATGAACTGAACTGATTGTTTATTTCTTTGTCATTGTTAGACATTTTTATAAACCTCTCCGCTACAACCACACCACATCTGAGCTCAGTATAGCTCACATATCTGGAAAACTGACTGAGCTATAGCCATTTCTGTGTTTGCTAAAGTAGCTTAGCTGTGGCAGCCATCTTGGATTAGGTTGACACTACAAGTCGATCAGTTCTAGTTGCTCATCCAGTGATTACGTTCTGAGAGTTTCAATAAATTATATCCAGAGTTTTTTAACATATTTAGAAATCATGACAGAGAAACAGACACAGTTATGGGCATCATGGTCCAGAGAAAGATAAGGGCTGTGGAGGATTATTTTTTTTCTGCAGACAGAAAACAAAAACAAATGCAGCCATAGGCAGGTTTGTTCTCCTCCATGCAAAGAGTCACACATAATCCTGATGTTTGTGCACAATAATTTGAGTTTTGACCGTTTATCTTTGTGCCTGAATACAATTAATGTCATTGTTAATGATGAGGATGAGACAGACGTCTGGAAGAACTGCAAATAAAACTAATTTAGTTTGAATAGCAGTTTTCATTGTGCTGCAGTGTTTTAGTGTCTGGAGCCAAAATGTCTGTCGACCTTACGAAAACATGCTCATTGATGAACGTCTGTCTGACTGTTGTGTTTTAATGTTAACCCAAAGAAAACTATAGAATTATAGATACCATCGTTGCATATTGTTTCTTTAGATTCTGATAAAGTACAAACAAAATAAGAGGTTTTAAACTCATTTTGGATTTTTTTTTAATCCATGCACTCAGATTGTTTAGAAAGCAATTGTTGTAAAAATTGAGCGCACTGATGGTTTCATGATGGTTTCATGATGGTTTCATGATGGTTTCCCTCTTTTAGAGTTCACTATCAGCTCACCTGCTCTCATGGTCACACTCTGAAAACTGGTCTGAAAACAACGAGTGTGTGTTTTTACCTGTAGCTGAGTGAACCGAGTCTTTTTGACAAATCCAGAACATTGTTACAGGAATTAAGCTGAAACTTGACACAAAAACTGATTTTATTCCATGACACAACAACTCAAACCAACATTTTTTGTTTTTCGCTTGAGCTAGACAAGCAGCAAGCTCACAAACAAATCACGGTGCACGCTGAACTAATAGCACAATATTTAGCTAACACAGTCAGTACACGTTCACTAGAACTGGATCAAGTCTAATCTTGTTACTTGTGTTCCTGCAGGCCATCGAGTCTCTGGGCATCATGATCTACAAAGCTCTGGACTACGGCCTGAAGGAGAACGAGGAGCGGGAGCTGAGTCCTCCTCTGGAGCACCTCATTGATCTCATGACAAATATGGCCGAGGCAGAAAAGGACGCCTGCCCTGATGAAGGCTATGAGGCCACAGAGGAAGAGGACGAGGCAGAGGACGAGCCTGATAAACCCTCTGGCGTTCACAGCTACAGAGATATCCTCAAGGTGCGTAACAAGAGAGTCCTCACAGTTTAAGGTTATTTGGTTTTGTGTTGGTGATAGAGAAAGAGTTTAGGATAGTGCCAGAAACAAATTTACAATATAAGACATTTCCCATAAGATGGAGGTATGGATCAGGCTGGATGATCTCCTCCACTAGAGGCAAATAGCTGCAGCTTGAAGGGAGCATTGCATTCATTCAACCTTTATTTATACAGGTAAATCCCATTGAGCCTCGAGGACTCATTTACAAGAAAGACCTGATTTCAACAAAGAATGATGACAACAATGAACAACAGCGACAACAATAAACAGTTTTAAAAAGTCATACAGATTTTTTTTTCCAGCCTTAGAGAAATCGATTCTCACCCCCCCCCCCC